AAATAATGTGAACAAGGCTTTTTTTTTTTCCTGAAGAATATAATTCATAGGAAAGCATTTTCATGGGAACCCCAATTTAATCTCTTTTTTCCCCAAGATCATACAAACTTCGATCTCCAGTCTCATCTGCTCAAGTGTCACATCCTCCCATCCCACTGTTGCTCTAATTGTGCACTGCTGAGGCCCCGTGATCATTTCGGTATCCCTCGACAATGGCAGGATCAGAACTGAAGGCAAAAATCCTCTCCTCTGCAAAGTGGCATCACAGCCTTTCATTTCTGCTTTTCATTCTTCTGTAAAATCAAGGTGAGGAAAGCGCTGGCTTACTTCTGGTACAGTGATGTTGCACCACAATCTCTTATTCAGTCTGTTCTCACCCCGGTGGATTTTTGTTTGGTATTTTTTAACTCTAAACTTTCCAAGCAGCCACCTCCCGTTAGGTACCTGTTCCAGTTGCCAGTCCTACTTTGGATATATACTTTTATCACCTCACTGAGGATAACAAGATGTTCTTACCCCTTCCGAACACCGGGCAGTCTCGAACTCACCTAATGTGGATTCTTTGATTTCACCTCAGCTTAAAAATACACGTGGAAAAGACTCTGTCTCATTAAATTCACTAACAAAAGTTACACAGAAAAGGCCTGGGTACCGATGGCGCAGAACACGAGAAGCACTCCTCATCTGCAGCGGAGTTGGTAACGGTGGCTCTACACAGGGGCAGATATTAATTTGTTTAGCACTCGGTGGGTTTGGGGCTTATCCAGGACAAGATTTCTCTTTTTCATTGTATCTCTCTATACAGGCACTGCATCTAATTCCTTAAACGGAACGGCTGCACCCCACAGCCACCGCGCTATTCTCACCCAGCAAGATAAAAATGATAACAGGGAACGCTACCAGATTTGTTTGCTATGATCAGTTCTCCGCTAGCCCCGGTGTATCAGTTGGTAAATGCACTTTCCGCCTGCTCCAAGTGGAAAGCAGATACGGTTCCATAATTTAATAGCCTGTATGCAGGCTTCAAAAGAGAAGGACCCGCATCGCGTTACACCTTGTCCGACCTAGAAGCCCTCCCAGAGCAGTTCTGCAGCCTGGACGCTCTGCTCCCGCTGCTGGGCCAGGGCACGGCAGCATGTGTCAGTGCTTCCACTGATCCAGTTCCCACTCTTGCATCCCAGCTTAGTCTCCCCTAATACCCTAAGACATAAGATGTGCAGCTTTCCGCCGTTGTACCTCAGTAGCTGTTCCCTCAATATTTAATCTTGTAAGCTGTTAATGCACAGATCTGTGCCAAGCAGCGGGGTTCATTTTTTTTCTGTCCTCAAAATTTGCTTCCCTCTTGTTTGACTGTGGCACAGATCACCCTTTTACTCCTCAGACCTCAAGTCAAAAATCATTTCATTTTAACCCAGTGAGAGTCCAGGTGGTTCTCTCCCTACTGTAAGCCTTTCTTTCCTTTAAAAGTATAATAGAAAATTTTGGCCAGGTGGTCTTCGCAATTCTTTGCATTTTTATTTATTCACCACAGACTAAGCGAAATAAATAAAAGCCCGGAGGCAGCCAAGCCTCGTCTCCGGAGACGCAGGCAGGTGCCCCAGCCGCCTCTGTGGCAGGGCGGTGG